CCCCCAAAACCCCAAAACCCCAAAACCCCACTTTATGTCTCAAAATAAATTAAGAATAAAATTAACATGTTTAACATGCAGCCAACCGGGTTTCAGAGACCAATGAGTGCGAGCATCAGCTCTACTCACAGACACACCAGCAGAAGTGTTGAAGGAGAATGGATGCGGCAAGCAAAGCAGGTATACAAATTGAAGGCTTAACTGTCAACTCTATCTTTCATCCCCAGTTTGAGCTTTTAGAAGAAAATAGATTTTAAAATTCAAAACAAATTTCTTAACAAATTATGACTTTTATCATATAGCAACAAGTCCCTCATAAATACATTTCAAAAGAAATTAGCGCTAATAATCAAGGTAAATTAGACCATTAACTATCTAGCCTCTGTTGCTGTTAGCAAGGCTCTAAATAATCCAAGTTTTAACAAAAGCACATACAATACTGAAAAATCCTGGAGGAGCACTAACTCTAACATAAAGTCTAACCCATCAACACGCCCCTCAACAGCAGGAAATTCTAAATAAGTTTAATGTTGGGTACCAGCGAGGATCAAGCTTTCAATCCTCACAAATGCAAGCTAATAATGACATTATGATGTCAAATGCTCCAGATAATTACTGCCATATGAAATCTGCACATGACCAGCTCAGGACGAGACAGGGGACAACCACTTTCCAAATGGGAGTAAATCATCCTAAATAATATCGTAGAACAAATAATGGAAAAATTGAAACTAGAAAACAACATAATAAGTCCTTTGACCATACCAAGCAAGCTGCTGGCACATATAAGCCAAAGGTGCAAGCGCCTAGACACTCAATGGCATCCCACATCACTGGAGGATTTTCTCAAGTAAATTCCTCTAGAGAGAAAGGAAATCACCTCCAAGCTGGCTGAAGAAAAGCTGTTCCAAATTTTCATTATTCTAGCCCAACTAAGAATAAAAATGTAACTATCCAATCTCCAAAAGGAGGTAAGAAGCCAACGCCACAACGCTCTAGGACTACAACTGCCAGGTATCTCGCCATGTTAATTCTGATAGGTCTCAAACAGTAAAGTCTAAATCAGACGCAGAAATATTTGAAACAAACCGCAAGACCAAGAATGGAGATGCTTATGTCTCCCAGACACATGCTTATTTCCAAACTTTAAAAAGCCCACCCCAACCAGTGATGACCAAAGCTGCTTCCTCAAAATAATTCTAGTAATTTGTGGAATTCCTCAGGAGTTGGCTCAAAGCAGAGGGAAACTCGAAGCAGGGAGAAGATAAATACCTTTAACTCAAGCTTTACAAGCGATAAATCTAACAAAACTTCTATCAACCCCTCAACTGAGAGAATGTTGATCGGCTTTAAGTACTCCAATAATGACACGATCAATAGCAACTTTATCGATAATGTAGACCTCAGGTACCACTCTAAAGCTAATTGGCACAATCAAGGGCCCCTAAGTCATGATGTTTTAATCCCAGAAGACCCAAAAAGAATCGAAAGTAAGCTCTTTTTAAGTATTCTAGAATCTGCCAATGAGAATCACTATCTCAACAAGAAATATAAGCAAAACCTCCTTGAAACTCACCACAAAGATGGCGACCAGGCTCAAGTCTCAAGTGGCGTTGAAGTACTAGAAACCAAAGTTCTCGATTCCACCAAGAAAGAAGCATTTTCTGAGTAATAAAATCGCTTGACTCATTTAGAAAACCGAGTCATGCAAGGTCATCTAAATCTATGCACAGCTGCTTAGATTCTAACTCTGATGCAAAATCAGCCATTGCTTACCCAAGAATGATGATTAAAAAGCACCAAGAAGCTGGAACTGTAAAGTTGTCATATAGCAAAAACCCTAAAAACTATCATTTTCTTCAAAAAGCCTATGGGATCCAATCAATGCCGTTCAAGAGTTCAGAGACAAAGCACACATATCGAGAGACGATGCTCAAACAAAATAAGGGACATTTGGTATATAATGAGCTACCGAAAGACACTCGCTCAGCCAATCTTGCTAAGGCAAGTCCAGTAAAGCCCAGTAAGGCCATAATATCTCAATATTAGGCAAAAATACCAATCCAAAAGATACCCCTTCAGCTAACAGAACTAGATATGCCAAACGGAACAAGAGCAGTAAGGCCCCTTCCAAAACCTTATAGGTAACATAAAGTGGAATTATGCCAAGAATAAGGAAGAAAAGAGCCTAAAAATGTAGGCGGATCCCTAACCTTCTAGAGCACTTGCCAGATCCAAGAAGACCATCCAAAGAACGAAATGGGTTGTCTAATAACCCAGTTTCAATAAGCCATCAGCAAGTTGGGGTTTTGGGGTTTTGGGGTTTTGGGGG